GGGGGTGTCTGGAAGGGGGGGCGACAGGGAGGGGGGGGGGCGTGCAAGGTCGATCTGAGAGACAGTGCGCGAGTGGAGGGGGGTGGGGCTGGGAGACGCGGCTGCGCTGGGGGGCGGTTTCGTTCTGGGGGGCACGAATGGGGTGACGGCGCAGGGGAGAAGGGCGGGGTAGAGAGTGAGAAGGCGCCCGAGCAGACGGCGCCGGCGGGCCGCCAGGCGGTGCTGTAGTTGTGCCACGTGGCCGTGGCCGGTGCCGCTGGCGAGGAGGGCCGCCGCAGCCTGCATTGCACACGTGTCGTTTTACCAGGCGGCGTCACAAATGTAGAGCTAGGCAGGTGCTGTTGCAAGTCGATGTGGAATGTCTTTCAATTGAAACCGCAGACTGGTCCTTGAAAGGGCACAAGAAAAATCTAGAGACGTGCTGACAACCGCCGAAGCCAGATGTCAATGTTAAAACAGGCCAGCTTCTTGCACGCGAAAAGCTACTGGAAGAAGTTTTGATTTGGCCATTGCCGCAGAAAGCCTGCCGCCCAAATCTTTACTTCATCTTCCGTAGTCGTCAAAGGCCCTTGATGACGGCGGACTGAACGAAGGAAGCCCGTAAGGAAAGCCCTACCAGCCCAAGAAAGACCCCACACGAGCCTAACAATCCCCCAAAGGTGGCCTACGCTTGATGCAGCTTTCAACAAAGCTGGCTGCCTTATTCGAGTCCAATTTGAGCCAGCGCGCAATGTTTGAACCTTTCAACAAGTGGCATCCGGGTCCTCGAATGCTTTCGGCTCTGCGCATGAGGGGAGTATCTGCGATCGGCTCGGTTCTCGTTATATCCTGATTACCAAGGTCCTCACAGGACTGCATGGACCTTCTCTATCGTTCTCGCAACGCGTACTTCGAAAAGGAAACTCAAGAGAAAGTTTACAGAAGCGGGATATCGGACTTGTATCAACCGGCCAGCTTTTACTGAATGTGCAATATCCTCAAGTCACAGATGAAAGCCGCTGCTCACATCTAGTCGTTTTCGCGCGCCCGCCAGCGTGGTTGCCGCCCCGAGCAGCCCCGGCGCGCGCTCAAGCACCTCGGCTTTGCGCTCCTCGATGCGTGCGCGCGCAGCTGCGAGCGCATTTTTCTCCCGCTCTAGTTCCTCCCGCAGAGCTGCCACTCGGCGATGAGCCTTCTGGGCCGCCGCAGCTCTCTCGAAGAGCGCTTGCCGTTCCTGCCAAATTTGAGCGATTGATTTCATTCACCAATTGTTGAGACCAGATGAGGGGATTTCTGTTTCTTACCATTATGCTGCGTATGCAGAGTCTTCAAGCCAAAAAAGCAAATGGGAGATTCGACAATGCTTGTGTTGCATCATTTCGGGTCGACTCAGGGCTCACTGTCATTTTTGCAAGTATCCACTTTCAGTAGCTGACAAGCGCCTCGAAAAGGTCATGTGGCGATATATGATTGTACAACGTCTTAGAGCGCTGCCACCCGAACCTCATCGACCATACGTGTTCAGATCCAAAACATTCTCTGATACATACTTAGTTCGCAATGACACTCTTGATCTTTCAATCCAAACCGTGAAAGTCAAAAGTCGCAGAACTCCACAATCATGGGACATTGCTAGCAAACACGAGAGACGACCCGCTTTTCTGGATCCAGAAGTCTCCCTTGCCCCGTCAGATGTCAAAGAAGCAGCGCAACTTTCTGTGTCCGAATGTTGATTCGTCTGAAGCGGTCATTGCTAGCCGATATGGTATGTTGAACTTTCACGTTTACGTTTCGCATCTTGTTTGACACTTGGATCACTGACCCCCTCACCTCTCCTCTGCATCGAACCGCCTCCTTCATCGCATCCCGTCTCGCCCTCGCCCGCCCCAGCCGCGCCGTCGCCCCCCCAGCCGCATACACCCCCTCCTGTAACTCCTCCAATGTCACTTGCACTCCCACCTTCTTTTCCCCCCTTCCGTGCCCGCCCCCCCCTTCATGATCATCCGTTGACCCGTTTAACTCGTGCGCTGCGGCTAAGGGGCTGTCCGGTAACACATACCACCCATCGGGGGCCTGAAACAGCAGGGCGTTAACCCCCCCATCTGCATTAAGCTCCCAGGGAGGATACTGCAGCCGCACCAAATGTCGTAGATCCACGTCCATCCGCACAACTTCTTCTTCCACGATCTCCACTACCCCTCCCATCTCATTGTCTTCTTCCCCATCATTGTCTCTATCCTTCTGAAATCTTGAGCTTTCGCCCCCTTTCGCTGATATCGCGCTAACTTCTTCCCCCTCCCTCCTCCGCACCTTCCAGTTCCGTCCTCCCGGGAGTGTCCCCCATCGTCGCTGCCCCGTTGCCGGCAGCCCCTCCAAAACGGACCTCCCCTCTCCTAGTTTGCTTTCATTGCCTCCCCCCCCCACTTCCTGCACTGCAGCACCCCCCCGGCCCCAATCTTGCTCCTCTTCCGCGCCCCCATTTTGTCCCCGTTCGGTGGCCGCCACGAACACGGACACTCGCAACGGACCGCAGTGCGCCAAAGCGTGCGATGACATCAGCGCCAGGTCGATGACGCCCCATTCTGGCGCGAGGGTGCCCCATGCGAGCTCACTGCTGTAGAAGATTTCACCCCCCTCCGACGAGCGGCTTGTCTCCGATTCCTTCTTAAGGGGACCGGGGTCATAGGAAATAGACTTTATGAGCAGTTTTGGGGGTGGGCCGCTGTGCGACTGTGGCTGGGAGCTTTCGGAGCCGTAAGTAGTGGCGGGGACAGCAAGGGTGAAGTAGGCGGCGAGGTCGTGGGTGCAGGGGGAGAGGGACTGGGGGAACAGGTTGCGCGCTTGAATGCCCAGCAGGCGGCGAAGGCTCAAGGAACCTTCGCTGTCACCCTGCTCCCTCTCTAGTTTGGCCCCGTGGGGATCCTCGCTGTCTGTCAGATCCCTCCCATTTGGCGTTTGCGCCAGATGGTTCTGTTCGATTCTAGCCATCATAAATTCTTAAAAGCCCTTTTAGTCAATCTTTTTCGATTGATAAAGGCGGTCAGCTGCCGCAGACATTGACGCGTCTTGATGCCTGAGTTGTACATCTCGTCCAGATGTGATAGGCCAGGCCTCCGCAAGCTCTCTGCTCTTGGTTTCAAGGGGCGCCAGCCACTGCAGCAGAGGCCTTACGAAAGTCAAATTGATTGAAGGTCAACAAAATCAAAACGAATCTGCCTGTTACTTCTGGCATTGAACAATGGTCTTGTGACTTCTTCAGCGTCAACCTGAAGCTTGAGGACCCCTTGAGGACCAGGATTCAATCCGATAACTCAATCCCTACATGATGGAACTCTAAGCAGGAATTGTGATGACCATGAGAATTCGCTTTTGATAGCAAAAGCAAGTTAGTATCGCAACAAGGTTAAGAATTTGTCAATCGCGGATGAATGCATGAAAATCTGGGCGACCATCTTAAGAACGGGAGTAGGAATGATAACAAGACGCAACATGGAGGAGCATTGTGGAGCTTGCAAGTCTTGTTGATGTTTACCACCGTTAAAGAATCCAAATCCGTCCAGGATTTGGTGCCGTCGTATGAAAAGCTCCATGTCCTCGAACAAGTTAGATGCCAAAGAGATCACTTTCATACAAGTCAAAAGGGAAATTCGTTCGTAGAGATTACCTAGAAGATGATCAAGTACTAACATAAGGCTAGGAGGCTTCCAAAATGCCCTTTCCTGGCTAAGACGCCCCTGCTACTCCAACAGATAATGTGCAAGACGCGGCACAGAAGTTAAACACAGACGGACACTCCTATTCGAGCTGGAGAACTTCAAAATTCCAGATGTTATTCCTCCGCCCGAAGATCTTGCCTCTCCCTTTGCGCCTTCTCTTGTCTCTCCCACATTTTGTCCAGTCAGAACGGAGGGAAGGAGAACGTGGATTGCAGTTTGCAGTCCGAGACCCCCACACCGCTTGATACTCAGTGCGCGAGCACCGGGTCTGGGAACGTCACCGCCGGCGAGGTTTGACATGCCGGATCGCTGGCGACCAACATTGGGGTCTTTCAAAGGTCCGGAAATGCACACTCCGTGCATGAGTCTTTTTTTAAGGGACCAGATTGCAAGTTCGACCAATCT